GTTTTGCAATTATTGTAGGACAATCACGTTTTTGGAGAAATGAAGTGTTGCATGATATAATGACTACATGTATTATATTGCACAACATGATAATCGAGGATGAACATAATCTTAATGCACCAATTCAAGATGTCGTAGAGGCTCCAATTGCAATGACCAAAATGGTGGTAGATGAAAATCTTCGATTCGAACAGTTTTTAGCTAGACATAAAAAAATTATGGACAAAAATGCTCATTTTGAACTCCATAATGTGTTGATAGAGCATTTATGTGAGCACCGTAATAATCTTGAAAGTTGGGTATTTATATAATGTTTATATAATTATATTTCATTAATGATTTCACTTTTATTTGAATTGTTCATGAATTTGTATATTATATAATATTTGCTTCCAATTTATGTTATTTAGAAATTTAGAATAAAATATAATTTGTATTAAAAAAAGAATTTGAAAAAACAAAATTTTATATCACATGAAAATTATATAAAAGTGATTATTTCGAAAAAAGAAGAAGAAGAGATTTATATTATGAAATAAGAAAATAAGAATGAAATAGAAATAATAATATAATATTGAAGAGAGAGAAAAATATAATTTTTTGGAGAGTAAAATAGAGAATTGAGTTGGAGTTGATTGTCTGGAAAAATAGAGAATTCTATATTTGAAGAGTGAAATAGAGAACAGGATTGGAGATGCCCTTAGTTATCTGAAAAAATAGAGAACTCTATATTTGAAAAGTAAAATAGAGTGTAGGATTGGAGATGCCTTAAAGCGTGAAGTCTCATTTCTCCACTTTTATCATCTTATGTAAAGCCTGCGCAGATATACTTTAATCACTTATAAAAAATTTACTTTTTATTTAACATTCTACTTAATCCAATTATTTAAATCCAACCCACCCAATTATAAAGACCCATTAAACCTAACTCTTATACGGTAAGGCTAATGATTGATGTGATACAGGAAAAATTAATAATTAGAAATTAGAACACACATAAGGACAAAGTTCTATTTTACACATTTACTAAGCATATACCAGATATTTGTGTCTATCGAGATATGTACATTCTTAAAAAAATTATTACTTTCAAATCAAATAAACCAGAAAAACTGAACCAAATCGAACCAAACAGACAATAACCAAATCGACGATTATTTTTTTTGTTTGATTTTAGAAATTTATAAAACTGACTAGATTGATTTGATTTTGATTTTAATTAATAACCGATCCAAATCGATAGGGGTGTTCATGGTTCGGTTTGGATCGGTTATTAGTTAAAACCAAAACCAAACCAATTTAAATCGGTTTTTAAATTTCTAAAACCAAACCAAACCAAATAAAAAAATAACTGTCGGTTTGGTAAGTTTTTTTTGGGTTTGAAAGTAATAAGTTTGTAGAGGACATACGCATCTCGATAGACACAAACACTAAGTATATGAATAATTCACAAATAAGCTATTACACGAACAAAGTGATTCATCAAATGTACCAAGTTTCACTAACTAAAAAAACTCATTGTCAATAGCATAAAGTTGGTTCCATATTCTAGAGATCTCAACGACTTATCAATAGTCTTTTCAATAAAATTACACCTTAAAATATTGAGAAATTACTTCTAAAAAAAAAACACCAATATTTCATAGTCAAAACTAATCAATTACCATCTTCTTTAGCTTGAGTTTTAAATTATTCAATGTTGCGTTAGAAAATTTTATAAAGAACAGAAAAAGTGTGATCTTTAAAGTAATGAATATTGAGGGATTTAGACTGAAGGTTTTAATAATTGGGCTAAAATTTAAGTGTTGGGCTTCAGAAAATAGTAAAATTAAAGATTTAAGTTAATTAAAATTTATCAAAATACTTATAATTTATTTATAAATAATTATAAAATTTATATATATAACTTCTCGGTTCGATTTGGTTATTTTTGAGATTAATTTTTAGTAAAATCAAAATCAAACCAAATAATATCGATTTTTCAAAATTTAAAACCAAACCTAACCAAATCAAACCAAATATCAGTTTTTTTAAATCGGTTTGGTTTTATAACCATAACCATGAACAACCCTACAAATCGAACCACAAACACCCCTACCACCCATACAACAAGTAGGGGTGTTCACGATTTGGATAAAAATCGATCCAAACCGAAAAATTGAACCAAACTGATTAAATAAATTTATTTGGGTTAGGTGTGGTTTGGTTTTAGATTTTTAAAAACCGATAGTATATGGGTTGGTTATGGTTTTGTTCAAAAAAAACTGAAGATATAACCGAACCGAACCGACAAATTATATACATATATTTTATTAATATACATACCTAATATCTTATTTTATAAACAATTTTAAAGTATCTTATATATGTTTTCATCAAAATTTATTTATAATTTACTTATGAAAGAAAAAATGCATAAGGTTGAGAATATTTTATCTTATTGGTTTTTATGTATATGAGTGTGTCTGTGACAATTCTTTATAAGATTGAAAATATCACTTTCTCTTTCTTCTAGGTCAAAATAATGAATTTTGAAGCTTTATTCATAGTAAATTTAATTATTGAAAGTTATGTAATGTCAGTCATTCTAATTATTTTCGTTTTAAATGGATTGTTATCACTTTTTTCACATTTTGAATGAATTGTTTCTTTTATTTTCGTCTATGGCTAATAACCGAATGACCAAACCAAAATCGATAACAACCAAACCGATAAATATATATTATATTTGATTTTGATAATTTTAAAACCGATTAAGTTGATTTGATTTTAATTTTAACCAATAATTGATCCAAATCGACCCGTGAAGAGCCCTAACAACAAGTATCCAATTACAAAAAGTTACTAGTAAACCCACAAACTCAAAATGCATATAGGGTTAATGAGTCTTGTGGATCGGATTGAATAAATGGGTCGATTAAATACAGTGTAGATTTTTAATTGTGCAAAAAAAATACCGATAAATACTTGAAAGTATATATTTAAGATTGCAATATTAGGCGCGCAAAAACCCTACGATTTGAGATGGCACAAAAGAAGAAGGGTGTATCCTCCCATCGCCATGGAAATTTAGCAAATAGAAAAGCTCCAAATAAGAAGAAATCCATTCTAAACACAAAGATTATTAGCAATGGAGAAGAAGCTACCCAAAAATTCAATAAGAAAAAGAAAAAATCAATACGTCCCTATCAAATTTGCAAAGGTATCCATCCCAAAATTTCAATCTTTCTTTCTTTGTGCGATGTGTGTGTTTTGATTTTTTAATGGCTGAATTTCAGGGAAGAGCATTGTGGAGCCGTCAAATGATAATACAGACCAGATGCAGATTGATCAGGTGAGTTCATATGTGACATACAATTGTTGAGTGCTCGTTGTGCTTGAAAATTTGTTTCTTTTTAAATGTTTTTGATATATTCTACTTGTCCAATTTAGGTCATAAGAATTTATTTACAAGATGAAATAATGATGGACATCCTCACCAAGTTACCCGTGCAGTCTCTTCTTCGGTTCAAATGTGTTTCAGAATTTTGGAACTCATTAATCAATGATACTTACTTTAGGATGAAACATTATATTCATTCCAAGAATGACCAAAATTCCCAAAAGTTTCTTATTACTGAATCCTTCTATGATAAGGATGATGTGTATAACTTCTCTACTTCTTCTTTATCGATGGTTCAAGTGGTTGAGGATGAACAAAAGCTTGATTGTCCTTCGAGCTGCAAACCAACGAATGTCATACTATTTTGTTCATGTGATGGATTGGTTCTTATTTTTGTTTCTTCTCGAGGACTCTATGATTCTTCTGCAAGACTCTATGAGGAACTTTTGTTGTGGAACCTGTCCACAAGAGAATCAATACTACTTCCCCATCCAGAATTTCGAGTGGTATATTGTGTATGTGGATTGGGATATGATGCAACTAGTGAAGACTATAAGATTCTTGCAATTAACCTGAATGCAGATGATAGTTTCAATACTTCAATTGAAGTTCTCTCTCTAAAAAGTGGTTCCTGGAGAAGAATTGGTTATCCTACTGGCATTCAGCGTGTTAGTGGTTTTAGGAATTGTGGTATGGATTATTTGGCATTTTTACATGGAGCATTTCATTGGCTTGGTATGACACTCTCTGGATATTATACTACTATTTCATTTAATATTTCAAATGAGGTGTATGGAGAGGTACCGTTATTGGAGAAAATGTATCATGTATGCCCCAGTTACCGCTACATCGACCGTGGTGTTTCAGTACTGAGAGGAATGCTTTGCTTTTATTCTACATATAATTATTGGGAGATGGGCATGGACTGCACTTTTATGTTGTGGATAATGAAAGACTATGATGTCAGGGAATCTTGGACTAACTTTATTAAAATACGAGATACTAATCTTTTTCATTCAGCCAGACCAAAATATATGTTTGCGGATTGTGAAGTGTTACTACACTGCAAACGTCTCGGATGTGTTTGTTCTAAATTCACCACATCTAGAGGACCATTTGGATTATACTGCCCTCAATGTCAATGTGTTACCGTTAAGCAAGGAATTGTTTATGTAGAGAGTTTGATCTCACCTAAATCACTTACTTAGTATTTGCGTATGTTTTTTTCCTTTTTCTTCTGTCGAAAATTATGTAACAACCTCTCATTTTAATGAATATATTTATTGCTGCTAAATTTTGGGTTCTGAATGTATTTATCAAAGTTGGTCAGTTTATTTATTTCATGTCCTCAGGGAAGCGTGCCACTAGAGCCATTTCTTTGCTAACAACTGATTGATTACCTATTGTTGTTTATCTAATCGTAGATAGTATTTACGACAATCCTACAACTAGTATACTGTTGATTCCTCAGCTGTAGATAAGTGGAACGACTCCTAGCTTGATTTATGTGAGCTGGTCCAGATGATCGTACTGCTCAATCTATCATTTTATAGGTTAATTCTACTCTGTTATCTCCTTATCTTGAGATTTCATCCTATTCTTAATGATATGCCTACAATCCAGAAAGATGTCAATGTTTCTCTCGAGTCCTATATGCCAAGGTTGAGGTACACAAAAGTGCAATGGACTCAATTTTCCAGTTGATCGTTGGGCTATGTTGTAACACTGATGGGGCTTCACGTGGGAATTCTGGCAGTATGAGAGTAGTAATTTTTTTGGAGTCGAGGCGTAGCTGGGCTTCACGTGGGAATTCTGGCAGTAGGAGAGTAGGAATTTGTTTGGAGTCGAGGCGTAGCTGTAATGTCTCACTGTCAGAGTGACAAATTTTGGTTGTGCTATCTTGTCATGCATTGTTATTGCAAAAACCATACCTAATCCTATACCAACTAATAGATATATAATCTTTGTTATATTGCATTTACATTATTATTAGTTATTCTAATATATTTTTTATTGTGACCAATGATGTTGCAACTAAATTAGCCCTCTTGTTTCACCATTTGTAACAATTATGATTATGTAATTCTTTTGCAATTTAGTTCATATTCCAACTAGAAAGATTCTTGCTGATGATTGTACCCTAGCAGAAATCACAATAGACAAATCAACCAACAACGATTATTGGTTGAGTGGTAAGTATTCTTTAATTCTTAATCAGAGACCTCGATCAGAGTGGTAAGAATTCTTTAATTCTACTGTTTTCAACCTTTAAACAAATACAGTTGATGACATTAGGATGACCGAATTCTATTAGACCATATTTCTTACAGAGGGATGAAGCCAAGCATCTAACAGAAGATTGGGAGGGAGCTGTTGCAGATTTGAAAGAAGCAGCTGAAAAATCTCCTCAGGTTTGTTGGCAATTTTTCTCGGTGGTTTTGTTTGTTAATTTGTTTTTTCCCTGTTTAAACCTTTCTTCATGTAGTTACACTGCATCTAAGATGAGAGAAGACATTGGCAAGACAACTCGATCATGCCATCACATTGTGGATATATTGATATGATGTCCTTTTTTGGGGGGTTGGGTTTGAGTTTTGCACGTAACAAAGATTAGATTTTGCAAGTTTTGTGATAGCCACGACTAGTGGCGGAGCCAAAATTCTCACTAAGGGGTGTCAAAATATAAAGGAATAAACCCAAGAAGAAGCCAAGGGGAGTCAATATATGATGTAATATGCATAATATACACCCGTTGAAATGCAAAAGTTGAAGTGAGCTAGGTCCTTCCTTTTGACTCAAAACCAAGTTTGCTTGGTTTTTCTTTTCAAGAGATTTATTGTTGCTTATCTGATATTTTCATTGCATGCGAATCCATCTATATATGCGTGTGCGTGTGCGATCCTTCCTATCAAGGTTTTATCTTTTTAACCTTGATATGGATGTCAAATAATCTGAACTACACTTCTATAGGATAGGAATATTCGTAAAGTGCTGATGAGGGCTGAGAGATCATTAAAATTGAGTCAACGGAAGGATTGATACAAGATATTGGGAGTGTCAAAGACATCATCTGTATCATAGATCAGAAAGGCATACAAAATACTTGCTCTGCAATGGCATCCTGACAAGAATGTTGACAATGGAGAAGAAGGAGAAAACAAGTTTTCGTGAAATAGCAGTAACATATGAGATTGGTCTTTTCCCTTCTTTTCAGTTTGTGTTGTTTCTGTTCTTAATTGGTTCTGGAATTTTCGTAAAATACCTGATATAATGGTGGACAAAATTTTTAATATCCACAACATTTTCGTTATTTTGGAATCATCTTTTTTTACTCTACTAGCTATAATTGTGTGCATCAGTGGTGACCAGATCGTGCTTAAAAGTTTTTGACAACCCTTTGTCAATCTGGTCCTTTTACTGCTGTGTCACAGATATTGGTCCTGTCCATGTTCTCTGGGTTAGTTTTCCAATATGTGGTTTTCTTGCTCCATACATAGTGAAAATATTTGTTAGTAGCTACCTTTTAATGTTTTCGAAAACATTTTTCTCGAGCTGGGAGTCTATGGGAAACAATCTGTCTACCTCACCTTGTGTGAGTAAGGTCTGCGTATACTCTTCCCTTCCCAAACCTACTTGTGGGTAACTCTGGGTATGTTGTTGTTGTTTTGTTACCTTTCAATGTTATATTGATTGCATGAGTGGTCATTTCAGATAAAATAGTTTGAAAATATTATGTCAGTGCATAGTGATATTTCAGATATAATATATGGTCATCCATATTTTCCCTGACTTGCAACAAAAGGTAAACCACTCTCATTCTCTTTCTTTTGTGTTGATTCCTCCATTATCCCTTTTTGCTCCCAAAACAAGTTATTGATGGAAAGTATTATACCAAGTAAGGATATTGATTTCTTTGCATTATTTCATCAAGTTCATCAGGATAAACAATACTTGTTATAGCAATAGCTACACTACCCGAGTTTCATTATTGATAGACATTGTTTATGTGGAAATTTATAAAAAGAAGGAACAAAAGGTTGCAGCACATATCCCCACATCTTCTGATCAATCCTATCCGCCTACTCCTGCTAATTGCTAATTGTAAGTGACACTTCTTTTTAAATTCTTCTTCTTTGCTCTTCTCAAATTCCAAGTTCAAATTACCTTCTGACTAAAGTCGCCAGTTTTGAAGTGCTTTCACAGTAAAATTCTTTCCAAGTTCCTTTCAACCATGCTCTTTAGAATAGCCAATTATTCACTATTAAACTTTAACTTCATGGTTGGTGTCTTGCTTCCTCTCATATGTGTCTAATGGTTTCTCAGATTGATTAACATATTGCAAGCATATTGGGAGTAATAAAATTACTGTCAATGGGATTATTGTATTGGTCATCTAAACACTATATGGCTCTGTACTTATTCAATGTCTTTCAAAGGTTATTTAATTTTTCTTTATTCTGTTATCAACAAATCGAGATGGAGGAGCGCTTGCTCGGTCTACAAGTCTCTTTAAGTTAAAGTTTTGATTTCTTCTCAGTAAGGTCTAAGGCACTGACTTTGATGACGATGCTACGGCAGCATCTTTTGGGCATACATGTGGACAAATCCATGGAATTTTGTCTAAAGAACTTGCTGAATCGATTAATGGCTACAACATTTCGAATAAGATCGGAGAAGGTGGTTTTGGAGTCGTCTGTTATGCTGAGCTGAAAGGCAAGGTTAGTTTAAATTTATTTTATCTCCAGTGATTGTAATAGTTTGTCTATTTATTGATTAAAAATATATGACGGAATCAGTAAAGAGAACACAAATCTCATTAATTTCTTTATTTTTCACCCACACATATGAAAAAGTTCTACTATCAATCAAAAGATTAAGATAGCCCGTTATAGATGTTATAACGTTATCTCTGTTGTTTCTTGACGACCCTACATTTGTTATTGATTCTGAAGTGCTTTTTGGGTTATTGAAGAAATGAAAGACGTTACTAAAAGTTGTAGCATAGTCCTCATGACCATCCACCAGCAGGTTGCACATGGATGGTCTATGAGGTATGAAATTCCTTTTTTCTTTATACAACAGCTGGACAAATTGCGGTAGTGTGGGAAGAACGGTTAGAATTGATGGCAAACTACTTGAGTCTCTATACATTATGAATACATCCATTTGGCTAAAATATAATCCATCTCCATGTAAAAGATTTATCAACAGATTTTAGAAGATTACTTTCCTTCTAAGTACAGACTAAAACACTGATCATACTGTGTAGCCGTGCAGGTGACTACAAGTTACTTGAAGCTAATCTCCTCCTATGTAATGCAACATATCAATTCTTCCCTGTGTTGAAAGTTTCTGTGACGTTCATGTTTGCAGCTGAGGTTAGACTTTCACCATCAGTATCATAATGGCTTAAGGTATGATGAATTTTCCGATACTTGCCTTTGCATGTGGATTGTTTGATGTATTGAAGGAAGGAACATGGCTTTTGACTTTGGGTTAAGTTTGTTTTTTGGGGCAGGTAGTAGTGACAGCAAAGACAAACAGCTATGAGCAATTGTCTTAGGATCTTTGAAATGATTCCTCTCTTAAATTTTTTAGTCAGGTACTGTTTTTTTAATCTAGCTCCTGCATAAGTGAAGTTGTACTCTTAGTTTGTGTTTTCCGACAGTTTTCATTGATGAAAATGCACTTTATCCTTTTGATGTCCTTGGGACCGACAAGTTATCATCAATGTAACTCATGAGTATGAAACTTCACTTTAATGTGCAGAATATATGTCGAAAAACAATGAGTGACTTCTTATAACCGTAGAAAATTAGTAAAATGAAAAGACGCGTGATTTGGGAACAAAGAGTAGTTTAGTCATCTAAATCTTTAAAGCTATACTATATCATAAAAGTGGATCTTTATAAACCTTGCAATTCATATATTTGTCTTCATTACTTGGTAATTTTTTTTTATGTCTGGAGCTATTTTAAGTTGTAAAATTAAATTCTAACAGGCAGACAGGCTACATTGTCCTAACCTTCACACAAGGTAACCCCCTTTCCCCTGTTAAACTTCTCATTTATATATTGTTGTTTGTTTGATTTCTGGTTAATCAAACCAAGTGTGTATCTAGAAGTTTTTAAAGATAAAATATATCTTAACGTTTCAAAAAAGACACCAAAATGAGTGATAATAGAAAAGAACAAGCATACAAATAGATGGATGGCAAAATTTGGATTGGTTAAAGTTGTGAAGTGTGTTAAAGGTAGCGTTTTCATAACATTTTCGCATTTTCATGTTTAAGTTTGAACTTTATTTTGAACATACGCTTGCTATACTTTCTCATTAGTGAATTTTATAAATCGAGTTTGTGTTAGAGTGGAGTTGACTGCTTTATCCTTATACAACATTTATGATAATCAACCTAGTAGTATTTTCCTTCTTGTGGTACAAAGAGGTAGGATGCTATTAGATTATCTACTTATTTGTTTTTCATTAATAATGATGTGGCTTCTTATGTCTATGAAGAATTATATGGTTTGTTGTACGTAGTAATACTGTTTCATGGTGAGTCTTTATAGCTGTATACGTTGAACATCGAGTTGTTGGAAAGAAATTTTTATTTGCTTGAGGTTGATAGAAAATTAGGAACTCCTATCATCACTATGCTTTCCATTTTTGCTCCATGTTTTGGCTGGTTTAGCGGGCTACTTCTTACAAATGAAATGATACTTTTCAGGTTTTGGTACATCAATGGTAGTGCAAAGATCACATTTTCAAGAGTTTACGTCAAAGATTTTTATACCTAAACCAAAAATTATCATATACATATGCTGGTAGATTGACCATTGGATGGTCCTTGCATCTTTTAGCTTTATTTATTTACCGATTAAATTTGTCATGCCATTATAATACTATATTTTATTTTTTAGAACATGTGAAGAGAACAACTATATTTTATCTTTTAGAACTATTTTTTGTATATTAATTTTTATTTTATAAGTTATAACATAATTGATGACATTCTTGTTGTTGGCTCTCATACTTGACTTCTCTGTTGACTGTGTACATAAATCAAAGATATTTATCTGACTGTCCATAGTTAACTTAGAAAGGTTTTCTTTTTTTTTTTTACCGGAAAAAACTAAAATTTAAAATTAAAGAATATATTCTATGTGTGAAATCATATATATAATCACCTGTTCATCTTACACTCAACAAAGATATAATTCATATACTTGTAAATTATTTTCAATTTATTCAACAAAGTATGATTCGTCAATGGAAAAATAACAACACCATGTTATCACATATATGAGGGCAGTGTAATAATATGAAAAATTATTGGTCAAAAGTTAATATAAGGAAAGATGAAAGATAGAAATAATTAACGTAATAACTATGGAATTCATAATATTATACATAAGAATGCAAAAGAGTGTGAATACCGTTTGCAATAATTAGTAATAACTAAGAGAATTTATAATGTTATAACTAAAGAATTAATGTGCAATAGCTGAATTTCTAATAAATTTTATACGTACATAAATAAATTGGACTTTTAATTAATGTTACTGCAATAGCTGAATTTCTAATAAATTTTATACTTACATAAGCAAATAGGACTTTAATTAATGTTACTATTTTCTTTTTAGTTATTAGATTTTAATTTAGTGTAGGGACAAAAAGTAAATGTTTATTCCATATTAGTGAATATAAATTTTTTTGTGAATATTAAATTTTTAAATGATTCATATATATTCACATATTTTCACATTTGTTGTGAGTGTTTTAAAAAAAAAAAAAATAACCCGGAACATTTTAAAATAATATATTTTGAAGTTGGAAGATCTTGTTAACTTGATAATACATTTGTGACATATATAATACTTTAATTTAAATACAAATACCTACCCAAATATAAATATATATTTGCATTAATGCAAATATTTATCTCATAAAATTAGATATTAAATAAATAGTAAAAATTAAACTAATACAAACTTCAACTTGTGTTATTACAAGTCATATGCACTTCTCTTTGTCTAAAATATTAAAATATCAAGAAATAGTAAATAAGTAAAACAAAAGT